GGTGAACATAATCTAGGGACCAATATCTAAAGTTCCCTCTTGGCAAAAGTTGGAAAACTTACTAAAACTGAGCTTCTATAAGGCAATGAATATTGCGGAGGGCGTGGCTCATCACATAAAGGTGTATAACATCTCAAGGGTTTCACCCATCACCACGCAACTTTGTAGGCATATGACCACACATAATCTGAGGGGACCCCTCCATTATTGACTCCATCAAACAAAATGGAGGCGCTAGACAGCTCATTTCTTATCTAGGCCTAACCGCCATATGGATTTTAACTAAACTTGGTAGATATGTAGAACAGGACGCCTCAACGTGACTGGAGAAATTTAACTCTAATTGGCAACTGGGTGGCGCTATAACAACAGAAAAATGCTTCAAAATGGCTAAAACACAACCGATCGCTGTGGCTCCCCCTGTGGACCAATGTTAATGAGCAGTTGAACAGCCGTGTGTAATAGAGTGGCCGGTGAGTGTAGTTTTGATGTTGTTAAATGTGGACCCCTATGACTTTAATTCATCAAGATTTTTTTCTGTTTTTGGATTCTTCGTTCATGAGAGGCATGTGAAAATACCAGTTTTCTTCACAAGATGGCAGATGGTGCGTAATTGACATACAAATGGTCATTTGGAGGGTGAAGTATTCCTTTTAAGAGCAACTTGACACATTTAGCTTGAACACGTCCCGTCACATATTCAGTTAACCCTTAAGATTTACACACATTTCAGTGTCTTGACACAGGATTGATTGCTTAGACTGGAGTAAATGTGACAGAGCTTTATACGTGGGGTGGGTAGACAACAAGTTAACACAGTTTTGGGGGTTAAGAGGAAGACAATCGGATTTTCTGTGGGAAATGAAAAAAGAAACCTTGAGCAATGAACACCGTAGATTTTGACCAAGGACTAAAGTGTCTAACGTAATAATGTAACCATTATTTTCATGTTTTTTTTCTTTTTAGTTTTTGATCTGCTGTGAGTTCCCCCCAAAGCGACTCCTCAGTGTTTCATTTCTCCTTTACAAAGATGGTTTCTGAGACGTGGTAGTGTGTTGTATTTGTGGAAAATGTCCTTTGGGGAAACGTAGGGCATCTTCAGGATGAAATCAAAGTTTTTATTTCTTCAAGTAGCTGCTACAGAAAGAGACAAAACTTGAGAATGTCCTGGAGCTTTACCCAGTGGAGTGTGGTCTCTATCAGCGCTTCTGCTTTTCCTGTTGTTTTTCTGTTCCATCTGTTTTCTGTCCTAACAAATCTCGGAGCATCAAATTATATATTAAAATATCACTTTAACTAAGCTAACCTTAATAAGAATGTGTGGGGATGAGTGTGTTGGTGTCCTGGTTAACCTCTGTCATGTATTTATTTGCATTTTATATGTCTGCATGTGTCTTTCTCAGGCGAGTGGAGCGAGGCGTTATACCCTCTCCTCACCACGCTCACTGAGTGCGTCGCCATGATGAGCGATAAGGCCAAAAAGTCCATGGTGTTCCTGCTGATGCAGGACAGCGCCCCGACGATAGCCATGGACCTGTCGCTGCAGTACCGCCGCGACGTTGTCTTCTGCCAGACAGTAAGTTACACACTGACATGAGCATTCACCTGTTCATCTTCGAATGACTCACAGCGAGGGAATCGATGAAGAGTTCATGAATCTGTAAATATAACAAAACCAGAAGGAGCAAAGATCCAGCGCTCAGTGGCTTTGCAGTATTTATACGACTATTGAACACTTGTGTGAAAAGACAAAGCAAGTAAAGTTAAAATAGAAGAGACAGAGCGAGAAGGGATTTCTTCACCTGCGGACACGCTCACTCCTACTCTTGAGACATCTTAGTTCTTCGGGCCAACGTTGAAAAGATATGGGAGCCCAGAGGTAGTCGAGGTCATGGATTTTTGTCTTACAACTTGTTATTTTTACAGCTTCTTTTATCTGTATTTTTGGCTCGGTTACAACAACAGTTATATTTGCTCTGCAGGTTTATTGTAGATGTTAGACATGAGATCTCTGCAGCCTCAGCTGTACACCTTTAAGGGGAGATACTACAAGTGAAATGGGTAATTATTAGATGTCACCACTAATAGATATTTTGTTGGTTTTAAGTTGCATTGTTAAGTTACCAAAATCCAGCATCTTCTAAACATCTCATGCATCTTTATGTAGCATAACAACATTTTGTTTTAAGGTACAGTATGGAGAAAAAAACGTCTGCAAAACATCATAATGTTTGTAATGTCCACACAATGTGAAATTCTGACATCACTAGACATTTAAAATATTATGTACACGATTTTTAATCTAGCCAAAAGTTAACATCTGTCCAGCGTAAGAGTCCACTGTCTCTCTGACATCATCAATGACATCACATGCCAGCAGAGATAAATTGGAAAATACTGTCAACAAGCAATTAAAATACCGTGTTTTTAGGAATAAAATGTTACTAGTCCATACCCATTGAGTACAGCATACCATACCATGACTTAGTCATACCAAAAATAAGAAAAAAAACAACACTGGTCCACAGGGGGAGCCACAGCGATCGGTCGCATTTTAGCCATTTTGAAGCATTTTTCTGTTGTTATAGCGCCACCCAGTTGCCAGTTAGAGTTAAATTTCTCCAGTCACCTTGAGGCGTCCTGTTCTACATATCTACCAAGTTTATAAAAATTCATATGGCGGTTAGGCCTAGATAAGAAATGAGCTCTCTAGCGCCCCCATTTTGTTTGATGGGGTCAATAATGGAGGAGTCCCCTCAGATTATGTGTGGTCATATGCCTACAAAGTTGCGTGGTGATGGGTGAAACCCTTGAGATGTTATACACCTTTATGTGATGAGCCACGCCCTCCGCAATATTCATTGCCTTATAGAAGCTCAGTTTTAGTAAGTTTTCCAACTTTTGCCAAGAGGGAACTTTAGATATTGGTCCCTAGATTATGTTCACCCAGTTTCATGCAGATCGCTCAAACTTCCTAGGAAGAGATC